AAATACACTTGATATGGTCAGAACTAAATAATTTGAAAGGTGTGTTTAACACGGGCAACCCCCCCCCCCCCCCGCCCCTCCGGCTGTGACCCAATATTTTATTTAAACAGGTGTGAACTATGAACTGACCATAAGAATGTTTCAAATAACAGGAGAAATTCTTCTTGCATAAACAGACTTTCCGGGTCACCTAGCGTCATACCATTTTGATTGACAGGTGATGCACGAGAATTTCATGCGTGCAGCATGCATGTACAGAGAACGGATTATTCATTGAACAATAGTTGTAAAGGGGTTGATTAAATAGAATCATAGACTGATTAATTGTGACTTTAGCGATGTAAATAAACGAAGAATGAGAATAAATACAAGTTATTTTTTTTACAGATAATGTATTAAAGGGTTGCATCTCTCTCTCTATCCCCCTCTCTCTCTCATTCACGACATCGTTTTTACAGACTACAAAAATAGAATAACTTAATAAAATAAAGAAAACTTATGGAAATAATTACTTAATACACTGAAAGGATTAATGAAAACGTATACACTTGTCTGTGAAAAGAATGTTTTCTGTGAGAGAAAGCGCTCGGAAATTATTGTATTGATTTCATGTTACTGCTGCCGAATTTCGTATTTATTTTGTTTACTGATATTTTTCTTCTGAAGCAAACGTTTGAACGGTAGATCTATTATTTTAAAAATAAAAAAAAACAATGTACATATCTAATTACTAGGAATAAAAATGAAGCAGGAAGAGTCATATTTATTTCTATAGATCAATGAATTAAAAATAAGTTACATATGTATATGTTATATGTATAGAACAAGTATATAGGCCTATACCCGATATATATATATATATATATATATATATATATATATATATATATATATATATATATATATATATATATATTAATTCCTTTAAATTATCTTACAACTTTATTTCAAAGTGGAAAAAAATATTTCATTTAATTTTTTTCCGTTTTAAAATGAAGGTTCAGCATACATAAAAAATAAGCAAGGAAATATTTACGAGTTCTATATATATTAATACATATCTATACATAATGCCAAAGACATCGGTGGGGTGATGTTTTTTCTTCCTTTCATTTTTTTTTTTCATTTTTCCTCCATCACCGCTGTAGTGTAAATTTATGCTTAAATTGAAACCGAGAAATTAATTTGTTTAAAGCGGAAATATAATAATATACGTACATTAAGTACTTCAAAAGTCATTTAAAATGAATTAATTTTTAGCAGCCAATCAAAAATTAAAGCTAACAGGCTCCACTTACTTCATTTACATACCGTTTCCCAAAGCGTACCGTCCACAAAACGAACCGTTCCGTGCCAGAAACGAAACGTACCGTCCACAAAGCGTACCATTCCGTGCACAAAACGAACCGTTCCGTGCACAAAGCGTACCGTTCCGTGCACAAAGCGAACCGTTCCGTGCACAAAGCGTACCGTACCGTTCACACAAAACGAACCGTTTCGTTCTCAAAGCGTATCGTTCCGTGCACAAAGCGTACCGAACCGTACCGTTCAAGTGGTGTAGTAGCACGGTTTAGGGTCTGTATATAAATATTCTTGTAATAAATGCAAGTTATTGAACATAAATAGTATCCGATTCCTTGACCGTCGAAGGGCGAGTGATTTTTTTTTCTCAGTGAAACATTCCAGTCTTTTCATAAACGTTTAACTCATCTCCATTTTTGGGGTAAACAGGATACAAAATTCGTGGAAAATCTTACCGAATTTACAGCTTTAGTGTTACTTGGCCGTATAATGCTCGAAATTCCGGTTATAAGAACATACATTTCTAATTTTCATTGAAGCTATCACATCCATTAGATAGATGAAACATTTGAAAGGAATAGCGTTAAGAACTACTTGTGATTTGGTACGAAATAATGTATCGTGACCCGAATTAAGTAGTAGACAAATGGCGACAATAGTGCAGAAATATATAACATTGGCATGCCTGTATATGGAGTTGCATGGAATAAAAAGTTGAATACATATCGAAACAAGAGGCCCATGGGCCACATCGCTCACCTGAGAAGCTTTGACCATTCTGTTCTTTACCAGATTTCCCCCTTGTTATACATAATGCATCCCCACCCTACCCAACTGATCATAATTTAGACATTTTGAAATCCACACTACCCCTATAATCCTTCCATGGGCACATATGTTTCAGCTTTTTTGGCCCAGTGGTTCCTGAGAAGAAGATTTTCAAAGATTTTTCCTATATATTTCTATTTAAAACTTTGATTCCCCTGTAATGGCCCCGCCCTTCCCCCGGGAGTCATGATTCCTACAATTTAGAATTTACGCTAACCCAGAATGCTTCCACATAAGCTTCACTTTTTCTGGCCCAGAGGTTCTTGAGAAGAAGATTTTCAAAGATTTTTCCTATATATTTCTATGTAAAACTTTGATACCCCATTGTGGCCCCGCCCTTCCCCCGGGGTCCATGATTCCTACAATTTAGAATTTACGCTACCCCAGAATGCTTCCACATAAGCTTCACTTTTTCTGGCCCAGTGGTTCTTGAGGAGAAGATTTTCAAAGATTTTTCCCATATATTTCTATATAAAACTTTGATTCCCCATTGTGGAACCAGCCCTTCCCCCGGGGGTCATTATTTGAACAATTTAGAATCTACACTACACCTGGATGCTTCCACATAAGTTTCAGCTTTTCTGGCCCAGTGGTTCTTGAGAAGATTTTCAAAGATATTTCCTATATATTTCTATGTAAAACTTGGATTCCCCATTGTGGCCCCGCCCTTCTCCCGGGGGTCATGATGTGAACAATTTAGAATCTACACTATACTAGGATGCTTCCACATAAGTTTCAGCTTTTCTGGCCCAGTGGTTCTTGAGAAGAAGATTTCCAAAGATTTTTTCCTATATATCTCTATATAAAACTTTGATTCCCCATTGTGGCCCCGCCCTTCCCCCGGGGGGTCATGATTTGAACAATTTAGAATTAACACTACCCCAGGATGCTTCCACATAAGTTTCAGCTTTACTGGCCCAGTGGTTCTTGAGAAGAAGATTTTTTAATGACCCAACCCTATTTTTCTCTTTTCTTGATTATCTCCCCTTGCGAGGGGATATGTCCCTTCATTTTAACAATTTAAATTTCCCTTTACCCAAGGATGCTTTGTACTAAGTTTGGTCACAATTGGCCCAGTGGTTCTTGAGAAGAAGTCGAAAATGTGAAAAGTTTACAGACGGACAGACAGACGGACGGACACACATTTGGTTATATATTGGGTACATCAAGTCCAAGTCCTATTGGATACTGCTTATTGGATACAAAAAAAGTGTACACACGAGAGAGCATTATTTGGGTAGTTACTGTTCAAATCTTATTGGATATTAATCCTCGTGTCCGTATTTTATTGGGTTTTTTTCTTATTGTTTTTTCATTCATTTCAAATTTATTATAAATTTAATATTTGCTGGTAAATTCAGACAAGACTGAAAACCTTTGGTTTTAAACCCTTATTTTTGTCAATTTCTGTGATATAGCTCTTTTATTGTAACACATAAATAATTTGTTCTTAGCAATAAGGATATACACCTGTATATTTCAAAATAACTAATATTGAAATATATGAGTACCTAAGTGCAAAAAAAAACTGAATTGTGAAAACACAACTCAACACATCTCAGACTCTGTTCAACCTTTCTTGAATAACAAAATTAAGTATTTAAGGAGAAACCTTTTTGAGTCTTGACCAATTAATAATAAGCAAATGCCCATAACATGTTGGACAGAATGAAGGTATCCAACAGGCATTGGACAGGTGTCCTATACCTGTTGGGTTGTATTTTGTCGAAGGGATTAAACTACCCAAGAACAATTGAACATGTGTACTTTGTCCAATTCTATTTGCTCTCATCAAAATACAACCCATCAGGTAATGGACACCTGTCAAACTCCTCTTGGATATCTATATCCCACCCAACAGGTAATGGACACTTGTGCAATTCTTCTTAGGTTTCTTGAATTGTTTCATCAGAATACCACCCAACAGGTAATGGACATCTGTCCAACTCCTCTTGGATATCTACATCCCACCCAACAGGCAATGGACACTTGTCTAATTCTTGGTTTGCTTGAATTGCATCATCAAAATACAACCCAACAGGTAATGGACACCTGTCCAATTCTTCTTGGGTTTCTTGAATTGTTTCATCAGAATACCACCCAACAGGTAATGGACACCTGTCCAACTCCTCTTGGATATCTACTTCTTACCCAACAGGCAATGGACACTTGTCTTATTCTTGGGTTTCTTGAGAATCCCCTCATCAGAATACTACCCAACATGTAATGGACACCTGTCCAATTCCTCTTGGATATCTTCATCCCTTCAATAGTATATAAACTGAAAGGTATTGGACATTCTTCTTGGGTTACTCAAATTTTTTTTCATAAGAAAGAAAACCCAATAGGTATTGGACATTGGTTCAACTCTTCTTGGATATTACATCACAACATTAGAATAAAACCCAACAAGTGATGTTTACCTGTCCAATTCTTCTTGGGTTACTTATACCCTTCATTAAAATTGTCAAATTTGTCTTGGATATTTATACTCTTGCATTAGATTGCAAACCCAATAAGTATGACATTTACCTTCCCTAGTTGAATTCAAATTTATCTGCATAAGCATACATAAGTCCAAAACATATTTAATACTTTAATTCTAACATTCCACATCTCATTCTGTGTACACTTTACAAATGATAGGAAATATATAAGCATTTTGTGTCTAAACTATTTGGCTTTTAAAGAATTTTATAACCATGTTTGCAAAATTTAAATTTAAATATTGGAACTTGGAGCAAGTCATTAGAGGTAGAGCAAGATGCTGAAAACCATATTGATAAATAGATCACACCCTTGATAAAATATTTGCCTTTAGTTGCTAAGATTGTGTTGTATTATATGGAAAAATTCTATAATCCTGTTTATTACAGATACATGTACAATGCTTCCCTGTAATAATAAAAATACTTATGAGTTGTAAAAGAATGGATTAAATAGTCACCGATGTTAAAAGATATTACATGATCTCATTAATCTGGTTTGGAAATCACAAACTTAGTTTTGAAGCCGATAAAACAGTGTCGCACCAGAAAACTCAGTTACAAGTGAATTCGTTGTATCAAAACTTTAAAATAATTGATGCACTATGTCCAAATCTTTTCGACAAATCGGGATAAAGATATAAAATCAAATCATCACTGTTATAAGTCTTAGAGCTAGAGAAAAGTCATTACATGCCCAAATTTTACATGTAAGACTTTGATCCTATATTTCAATAAATGTCAAAAAGGTTTTATTTTTGTTTCTGTTCAATACTTTCTTCTTCAGGGTCTCTCATGGCCTATACTGTATGATACCTCTATTGACCCTGCTCTTTTATATTGCCATATGTTTATCCAGTAGCAGTGGTTATGCTCAGGCAATCTTTGAAATATTCCTCATTTCATGCATCTCCTTCAGTTCTGCCTTTGTCCATTTTATTCATTCTGCAATTAGATAAAGGCATTTCTTTGCCGTATAAAACATGTTTTTCTTGACTACAGCAAGATCACCCTTTATGTTGATCAAACCCAACCAAGAAGTAGAAGTATATTTCTTATTCAGAAATATGTATTGATAAATAAAATGAAAGAAAAACTAAATTCTATCAACTCTTTTTTTTCTTCAATGTCTAACTGCATCTTCATCCTACCCCCCATCCGCCATAATTTTTTCAAAATGAAATCATCATTCAACACACAAAACGATGTTGCATATTAATTAGACAGTATGTTAGTTTCTGATTGTTAAGAAGTAGATTTTAAAAAGCTTTACACCTATTCCTTGCAAATTTTAGACTTCTAATGTAACACTATCTGTACATTAGGGGTACATAATCTTCAAAAACATCTCTACACTTAATGATAAAGCTTTCACATTAGTATTGTTTTTAGCCCAATGGTTCTGCTAAAGAGGATTTAAAATTGACCCAAACCTTACTAACTGCTTTGAAATTATATTGACAGGGACAGAGACACACTTGACACTCCATCCCCCCTTCTGGGGTATGCTTTGCACAAAATTAATTAAAATTGACTAAGCTGGATAGAAGTTGAAATATCAAAAATACACCAACAAGATGAATCTGTTTTATTCCTTTGAAGTGATATCTAGTATTGTTTCTTTTCCTGTATGCCACCTCTATCAGAACAAAATGTTATACATGTATTAACATAACCTATGACCGAATAGTACCCCACTATTTACTTTACAATTAATTAAGTTCTGGAATCAACCCTCAGATGCCCTTAAAACAAATGATTCTAAACTGGAAAAGGTAAAGGGCAATTGAAGAATTTAAAATAAAATGATAGTAAAAACAAGCAAACAGTGTGCATGAAAATGTTGGCAAACACTAGAAAAAATACTAAGGTACTTTCTCAAACTTAACATGAATACTAAAGAGGTTTTATGTAGCTGTATTGCACATAACAAAAGCTTTCCTGTAGTTAAAGGTTGGTTGCCTAGTAGTTATGTAGTATGTACAAGTTTTTCCCTCTATCTCTTCTAATTTAAGAAGCGAAAATGTCTCTAAACATCTTATGGTTGGCATGATGTATTCCTGTTCATTTTACTGATTACTTACAATTGTCCTTTTTCTGAGAGTTATCTTCTGATGGGTGTGTTCTCTGCAATGTTCACAATTGAAGTTCCTGTTTGACCTGTTACATATTGAAAATCCTCAATGAACATGATTATTGTTTTAATTTCCATTGTAATTATTGATTACTTTTATTAAAAAAAATCTAAACCAATTTATTGTAACATATTACTTAGGAAAATATTTATGTAATATCAATGGAAAAAAGGAATCATTATCTCCAGTTATCCTAAAATCACAAGTAAGCATTAAACATATAAATTCACATACGTAAACCCATTAGCTTTTTGTGCTATTAAATCATAGTAATCGCTGTGCAATAAAGGAAATCAGGTACTAATCCACAGTTTGGTGGAAATAAAGTTACTATCCCCGAGTAAAAAGTGACAAGCCCAAATATAGAGGCAAAAATTAAAAAGTAACATTGAAAAAAAGTTCATCGTGAAAAAAGTCAGGGGCCCGTTTCATCAAAAGTCGTAAAGTTAAGCCTTAACTTAGGCGTACTTCCGGGGATTACGCCAAAATTTAGTCGGGCGTAATTTGCGTTTCACCAAGTGGCGTAAGTCTAGTCGTAAAAGATACGCTTAGTCACAGGACTAATTCCTTGACAACGTTGCATTGCGCAGGCGCAAAAACATAAACATTGCCCAAAGCGTACAAATATGTATAAATTGTAACACGTCAAAGTACAGAATAACACAAGTTATAGATAAATAAATACTTGCACTAATTGAAACATGCATGGGTTTATAGTGTTATGTAAGAGACATGCATCTTTTAAGAAACCAATTTTAGTTTTTTACAATATTTCAATAATAAAAGTCTAATAAATTGAAAGGATGAAAAGGACAGTACATTTACTTGTATTTCGGAATAAAGCAAAACTATTGGAAATTTAGCCATACCCCCTCTTCCCGAAATTGATACAGGTTAATAACTTCGCCTTTGATAATAAATTTCATGATTCGATAAATACTGATTCTACTGACAAATACTAATAATTAAGTTTGAGACAGAATAAGATTTAAAAATTTTAATAAGAAAGAAACGTATATGCAAGAAAAAATAATGAAAACAAAATGCAAACGGTTTACATATGAACACATTTTGAGTCAAGAAATAAATTTTACACGTTTATTACTATGGTATATGTAATATAATCCTCTCTGTATTTATTAATTTTTTGTCAATTCAATTGATTCTTTACTATCTGCAGATTAAATGTGATGTACCGTTTTAAAAGTACGCAGAGAGAGAGAGAGAGAGAGAGAGAGAGAGGTTTTAAAATTCTCTGCTTGTGTGGTCTCTGTCTTTAAAATTTAGTTACAGCTACTCTTTATTTTGTTTTCATTAAAATGTAAGTAATGCAGGAAATCAAAAACATGTATATTTTCATCTATGCTATACTACCGAAACGCGGGAAATATCATAGTCCCGACTTTACGCCGGCGTAGCGCTACGACTGGGCATACGACCTTTGATGAAACGGGCCCCAGGGTATAAACTACAGATGATTCTTTTTAAAATTAAAGTTTAATTTAATTTTCGCTAGTAAAATTTAATCATATATAAATTAATGATTTAAAAATATGAAAAAAAAAGATTTTAAATATTCCTTTTCTGGTCATTCACTAGTTTGCCTAATTAAAACGAAGCAAAAATCATTTTGTTTTCATCTTGAATCATTTAAAGCCATATATGGCGTATGTACAATGAAAATTATTAGACTAAAATTATAAGAACTTATTATTTGTATCATTACTTTATATAAACATGATAAAGATAGAATTTTTCCGTAAATTACAAAATCTAAGTCAATTGCGTTATTTAAGGAATGAATTTAATAGCTACCCATTTTATACGGTATAAACTGGGTTGGGGCAGTTTACGCTTTATATTCGCGGTTTATAAAAAAGCGTAAACTGTTCCAACCCAGTTTATACCGTATAAAATGGGAAGCTATTAAATTCATTGCTTATAATTTAATTTTCATTCATTTGATGTAAGAAAAAAAAGCTGATAGTTCTAACAAAATGACTTCAATTTGTTCAAAATTTGAATATAACGTCAGGCGGATTGATACGTTTTTGACGCGCGTCATTGTGACGTAGGCAACCCATTTTATACGATATGAAGTAAATTTTTTATCCAATCAAATACAGCGTTACAACCAGAATTAAATTAAAAAGATATCAAAATTTAATTTGGATTCTCGGAATTTTCTCTGACTTGCAAGAAAATACAAAAGATTTAAATAACACATTACAGAGAAGATAAAATCGTATTATTAGATAAAACGAGGTATTTTCCGTGCTCCGAATTGTATGAAAAGCTTTAATTGAAATGTATTAACTATATTTCTTTACTTCATTTTGTATTTTTTCAAAAATAGATTTTTTTGATCAGTTACGCCATATATGGCTTAAAAAAACACTACATAATTGCATGACACTTATCATTGAGCTGATTGAGTGAATTTATATAATTTAATAATGAGATATCTGTGAGGCATATATGTACATGCAAATATAGCTATATTAAACAAAGGAAAGGGGGGAATTCAAATTAGGAAATAAAAGATCGTTTTTAAGTAAATCAGTCTTGTAGTACTGCAAAATGGATGCAGTTGTGGATATTTATGGATAATATGAGCATGCTGTCTGGAATATTTCCATATTAGGGGAATTAATAGCAAAAAATAGTGAAAATACCGGTTATGCTTTTCATGTATTACATGTGTATTTTAAAATTCCTAATAGCCCAAGGGGATTTCTCAGTGCAGAAAACAACCAGCCCCATCCTCAAAAATGGAAGCCCAGGGTGTAGCGCGATGCTAATTACACACCCATCATGTGAAATAGTTATAGTAGCCCTATATCAATTTCAGTATTGTTTTAAATTAATTAAAACAAATGACAAAAACAATAATTAAAAAAAAAATCAAAATAAAGCAGACACTTAGTCAAAATCAAAGACAGAAAGAAGCACTGTTTTGACTGAAAGTTTTTCAGTAATACAATGAATCTCTTAAGTTACATATCAGATGAGATAAACTTACATACAATTATTTAGTTGTTGTCAATTATCCCATTTATCATCATCTCAGCTCACTTTGCGATTGTAACAGCTGTGTAATACTGTCTACATGAACCGATAATTTACAGCTGATTTATGAACACACGATTGTTAAAATTTTCATTTCCCTTTCCAATATACATTGTCAGAACATACTTAGTTGGTTATGATATAGAATTAAATAATAAACACTCTCGATTTATTAAAGATTATCTAACAATATATGATCATTTACTAAATACTTCTCGGCCTCAAGAGAGTTAAAAAGACAAGAGAAAATTCAAAATACAAACAAGTGCAACTTAGGATTAATTGTTCCAATATATCTATTTTAATTTTGTGCACAATTACTTTCAAAATTACATTAAAATCTATTTTCCTTAAACAAGAACCCAGCAATGGATAAATATTAATCGAATAAACTTACCTTTTCTCTTGTCAATCAGAAAATCTTGTTGACATTAAGTGTTTCTTAGTCGCCATATTTTTTTTTCCATGAAAACAAACGTTGTTATGATCAGGATCAACGGAAGTTGATTTTCGGAACTCTCGAGAATTTAGAGTTCCGAATGTAAAACTGAAACAACAAAACATGGTGTGTCCGTGAAAGCAACTTTTTTTTGGATTTTGGACAAATCGTCGTGTCCAAGTTTTGTTGGGTACTAACCTGCAAATACCCAATTAGGATGTTTTAAGCATATTCAGCGACACTTCTTATTGAGTATACCCAATAAGCAAAAAGTACCCAATAAGTACAATCTTGGCATGAAAAATACCCAATAAATGCACTCTCGTAAACACGGACGGACGGACAGACGGACGGACGACGGACAAAATGTGATCAGAAAAGCTCACTTGAGCCTTCGGCTCAGGTGAGCTAAAAAGGAAAGAAAACAGTATCATCTGTTCATCTCTAATAGATTATCTATCCTAAAACTCAAGTAAAAAATTCCGATGTGATCATCTTGAGCAAAGTTTGGCAAGCTGGCTGTCATCTTACAATTTCTAAACTGAATTTTAAAATAATGTAAGGTATGTTGGAATCAAAAAAAACAATCTCGCGATATTCCAATGTTAATTTGAAGCGGGTTCCCAAAGGTGTAATGGGTACCGCAATGGATTTTCACGATGGCGACCCGTGTTCGATCCCCTGTGTGTCCGATTTTTAAAATAACTTTTTCAGTTTGATTTTACGTTGTTTTTTTTTCTGAATCGGATGGAAGACCTCTCGTTGCTCGCAACGAATTTTGTTTCTAGTTATATATATTATAGTTTGCCATTGTTTAAATATCAGTTTTACACTAAAGTGTTGATTCGCAATGTCTGTGTTTCTAAAATAACATGTAGCACTAAAAAAAAGGGAAGTTAAAGTTGTTTTCTTGATGTTTAGGTCTTAGAAAACAAAAATAATGATGATGAAAGTAAGAAAAAGGCGTCATATTTATATTTTGTGCAAGGACTTTTTTCTTGTTCTTTCTCTCTCATGTCTAAGTTTATGCACCACTTTTACATATTTGTTACCTTTTAAGGATCTTGTTTCATCACATAAAACAAATATTTCCTCATGCACTTCCAGTCCCTCAGTGGATTTTATTTTCTTAATCTCTTCTTCACTACAACCAAGCAGACGTTTAAGTAGCGTGGTTTTTCCGGCCCCAGCACATCCTACAATCATCCCCCGGGCGTGGTGGACTGTGTGTGTTCCTCTCTTTGCGTACTCAACATACCGCTCTCTGGCCTCCTGGTCCCATTTTAGTATTTCTTTTGGGACTCCAACTGTACAACATGAAGGTAATATTGATTGATTGATTGGTGTTTAACGCCGAGTCGGCAATATTTCAGCCATATTTCGGCAGGGATGAAGGTAATAAATAGTGCACATCACAAAAACATACATATTGCTTACTTCAGTTTCAAGGGGATAACTGAAATTCGAAAAACATAGCTTCTATATTGAGGTGAATAATAAGAATCCCAATAATGTAAATAGATTGACTTCTTTTAACATTCTCGATAACTTCAATTTTATGATGTAGAGACCGACGTTATTTATTAGCATTCGAATATATTACTAAATCATAACATTGTGTTACTTCTGTATATAATCATCCTCACGTGCTGACTCTGTTTACGTGGGTTCTCATTTCTGTGTTCAAAGACCACCACTCTTATCTTATGTAACATTTTTTCTATATATCAATGATAAAAATGTTACAATTGATTCTTTTAAAATGCAGATATTATCAAATCTGCATGAACAATTATTTTAGGCATTAAACAGAAATAATACTCACAAAGTGTACTGACACTGTTATGAATCCCCCTGTCAGACATGGTACAGTGTGAGATGATGTCCAGCTGTAGTTTGTTTATGAAGAGGTTGCACATCTTCTCTGGATTGTCCGGTACATACAGACATTTCTCTCCCTCACTCCTCATATACTCCCATGACCGGCAGTATTCTGATATCACGTCACGTGACGCCGTGGTCAGGAAAAACTCCAGATCACTGTCCTCCACCAGACACTCTGTCACAAAAGCGGACATGACGTCATGACGGATATCGTCTGATATAAACGTTATAACACCGTCATGTGTTTCTGTGATTCCATCAGGAATATCTGCCAAGCCGTCATCAGTAATATCAGGGAAATATCTTTCTCTGATTTTGTCCCTTGTGATCCTGTGTGATTGTTCATTGAGATTCACATGATATTCCTCAGTTAACAGTAAGCAGTACAGAAGACATCTGACTTCCGGTGGATAGGTATGGTAATTACCTGAAATAATAATATGAAAACATTAAAAGGTTTACAATCATACATAAGCAATTTTTTTTCAACTTTTGTCAAATCATTTCATTCTGAGCCATCATAATTTTTCATTATAAATGGTAGACTCAAGCTCTTGTCATTTGTACTAATAGCTGAATACAACACTTGTCATTTGTCACTTGCAGATGACCCATGCAGAGAGAATAAACCAATGAATAATCCTTCGATTTAATCCACCATCACCTTAAATGTCGCCCACGTGGCGCAGTGGTTAGAGCCTCTGCTCTAGACGCACGAAGTAAGGAGTTGATCCTTACGTTGGGGGTTCGAATCCCACTGTGGAACGTGGAGAACGGTCCTTTGGATGAGACCGTATAAACCAAGATCCTGTGTCGCAGCAGTTGCTGGCACTAAAACGATTCCTCATTGCTCAATGGTCCTAGGTGACGAATACAGGACAAGATTTGTAACTCTCCACCGGCAAGTGGTGGCGTCTCAATAAGATGTGAAACATTCTCGAGAAGGACGTTAAACAAAATACAATCAATCAATCATCACCTTAACCGGAAGAAAAGAAATCCCTTTAAAGTTGGTAGGAAAAGAAAACGGACGATCGATTAAAAATGTCTCTTTTTTGTTTTATAGATTAAATTCAAAATGTACGTTATCATGCATAAAAGGTGTATTATTAAACATACATATGACGGTATTTCAAAATCTCAAACCGAAACATAGAAATTGATAGAACGATTTGGATCTGTAATCAGACTTCCTGACCTTTCTCTTCCCATCCTGTGTGTGTGTGGGGGGGGGGGGTGTCATAGAGTTTGGCTAGTCTTTACCTTTAAGCTGTTACAATCTATAAATAGTAACATGGTGTAGTAGTAAATTTTAGTTGCTCACTTTATACAGCTTTTAGTTAAAAGTTGCTAAGGTATCTTTATAATTTGAAGAATATTAATTATACATCAATTTTCCTTTTTTTCAAGTTTATTGTGTCCCAATCGACAACTATATATTCGATAGTGAATATATCGGAACTCTTAAAATATGGAATTGTTAAAAAAAGTTATGAAAACGCAATCCTTTAAAGAATGTTTCCTTATCCGTTTCTGTGTCTATCTGTTTGTCTGCATCTGTTTGCAAAAAAATTATTATTGCACATAATTTTTTAGTGAGTGGGGCTTTGGCATTCTTGTTCAACAGGACCATTCCTTGTAACAAGTTCTTTGAAATTCTCTTTGGTACCGTCAAATTTGACCATTTGACTTTGACCTTTCAGTTTGACACACTTTTTTTTCAAAAAATTACCATTTTTTTATTTTGACCTTATGTTTTGAACAGTCGTTACTAGGATGAATATTTTACAAAATGGTTTGGTGTCGTTCCTTTACTTTGAAATAAATTCTTTTTAAAATTTAGTTATTGTTCCACAAAATCTTGTACAAGAAAAAATATTACCGAAATTTCTATTTACACTCTACGTATGAAATACTGATAATGTAGTTTCTGTATCACGATAAGTATTTAAGAATTACTTCCCTGTTTCCGGGAGAAAATGCTCACCATAATCCCATCTACCCTACCACTAATCAATACCTACCCATAGGATACAAGTTGGATCCCAACATGCAAACAACCCGTTCCATATGTTATCTAGTACATGTAGGTAAGATTATATATTTACATGCATGTGCACTTATAGATAAAAGCATCTGTAAATATAAACAGAGAGTCATATCCTTTTTGAAGTACAGCTTTGAGTTGGACTATAATGGTAGATTGTATATAACTATTAAGTCTTACCTAGAATTGAATCTTTTTAGGGTAGAATAAAGTTTAGTTTAATGTGAAGTGTGCACTTGTTTATTATCATTTATCAACAAAAGCTTTTGTACGGATCCCCACGCCCCCCTCACTTTTCGAGCATAAATTATATTGTAAAGTTTTACTGTGAATTCTTTTTAATAACTTTTTAAACCATATGTAAACTGAATAAAACTTTTCAACTATATATTTCTTCTTACTAGGTTTTCTGTAAGCTTTGTTGTCGATGATGTAGATATCGTTGTGTGGATGTAGACTTATACAGGATCTCACGATGTCAGGTCTCGCTCTATAATCGTGTCTCCAGAGCCACGTCACATGATCTACACTGTCACATGATCTTCCTCTGTAATATACAGCCTCCCCTCCTCTTCTTAGATCCATTAAAAAAATTGTTCTTTTGTCTTTACTTTCCATTTGGATTGGAACTGAAATATTCACTGTAGAATAAATTAGTTTTATTAGGCAATTATTTCAAACAAAATATTTTTTAAGTAAAAGATATACCCAAAGGTATATCCTATCCCCTTAGCTTTCGTGTCATATCCTGTTAACAAATTCCTCTTGTTTGTATCTTCTTTTAGAAATTGGTCACTGTTCCTCGTCTTCATTTTTTAAAATTTAATTTAAAAAGTTTACCAAGTACATAATTATATCTGCAGTTTGTAGCATCAGTGCAAGCCCAATAAAGTCAAAATCTTAGGAATCATTTATAATGTAATGAACTTTTTAAAGTAATGGCCACCCAGTTATATTTATAAATCAATCACTTGAGGTACTTTCTGAAATCTAAAAGTTCTTACATCTCTTTATAATGACTTACATATCTGGTATATCCTATCACGCATGTTTATACTAGTGCCCATGGTAACGTGAGTCAATATATTCATCTGTAGACGGAGTATCAGTAAGTCATCATAACCACCACCGGTACTACGCAAGCTAACAGCGTTGTGAACGACACACTTCTCTTCAGGTTTTCTGTTGTATGTCCGTGATCTCAGGTACACACTGGCTGTGTCATAACTACTGTAATGGAATGGAATATATTCTTCTATTGATGCTATCCTATACATTGTCTCATCCTTTGTGTCCTTCGTTATCTTGCCATGATCTTCCCAGAGGTTATCACGTGACTTCAGTCTGTCCAGAGTCTGCTGTGCTTCCTTATGTGTTACAGGATTATATTCTATACGGAACGCTAACTGTCTTATCTTATTAAGCCTGTTCAGCCACTCTGTGTCAGTGAAGTCAGGAGGACCGGAGTCAGAACACAGAAAACAGAATAATACTAACACCTCGTCATCAGTCAGTGTGTAGAACTGATCTAGAAATTGAAAATATTATGACCAACTCAATTCAATGAGATATGTGCATATATAGTGTACAGAGGGTTGTAATTTAAGGAGGGTGCAAGCAACTATCTTCGGGGGGGGGGGGGGTTCCAAAAACTAACTTAACAATCAAAAAGTCATTAGAATTTTATTATCTTTTTTATCAATATTATATAATATGTATAAGAGCATTTTTAAAAATTAATTATATAAATTACCATATAAGCCATAATTACACTATGTTATTACATTATAATTTAATTCTGGTTGTAACGTTGTATTTGATTGGATAGCAAATTTACTTCATATCATATAAAATGGGTTGCCTACGTCACAATGACTTACGTCAAAAACGTGTCAATCCGCCTGACGTTACATTCAAATTTTGTACAAATTAAGTCATTTTGTTAGAACAATCATCTTTTTTTCTTACATCAATTGAATGAGAATTAAATTATATGCAATTAATTTTAAAGCTACCCATTTTATACGGTATAAACTTGCTTGGAACAGTTTATGCTTTTTTGTAAACCGCTTCGCGGTTTATAAAGCGTTAACTGCCCCAAACCCAGTTTATACCGTATAAAATGGGTAGCTATTAAATTCATTCCTTAAATAATGAAACAAAATAGGGCAATCCGTCTTTAACTCTCTCTCTCTCTCTCTCTCTCTCTCTCTCTCTCTCTCTCTCTCTCTCTCTCTCTCTCTCTCTTACGACAAATTGATCAATGGGTTGATTTACAATTTTGGATTCAATTGATTGTAATAAAATTATACTGAAATCAAATTATCATAATACCAAATAAGCCTTGGGTGGGTGGGTGGGTGGGTAGGTAGGTAGGTAGGTACTTCTTTTGTAATTTCTCTTAAATACTTTTTTTTTACCGGGGGAGGGGGGTTGAGAGATCTTGAAAAATTCTTTATAAGTTTATCTTATTCATATTGCTTAAATAAACATACTTTAGGAATTTTATTTTTTTTATCATTGGAACAACTTTATTACAGCAAGTGACTTTTATGCTTTTGAAAAAATTAATTTGTTGGATTAAATAGGATTTGGCAGTGTTCGTTAGGACGGAGATAAACATACATCAGCAAAGGCAATGTAAGAAATTATAGGGTTCATATTGTTCTTTGTGAAATAAAACAAAACCAAAATATTTTAACGGTAGTGCTATAGTGCAAACCAAAATTAAATAAAGAAAAAGGAAATTATTGAATAAATTAAAACGAAATAATAAAATAATTAAAGAAAAACGAAATTAATTGTAACGTGACCCGATCTTGGGTGTTACAAATTTTATGTGGGTCCTCTTAGTCCTGCAATTTACCTCAATTTATTATCAAGACTTGTTTATCTTTAACAATGGATTTATTAAAACAATAAAAATAATAATTTATTCTTAATAAAATACAATCAAAGTATACTTATGGATAATGGGTCAGGACATTCAATAATCAGCTAAATGGGTTATCCAAGATATGATATTATGTCAGGGCATGCAAAAATTGGCAGATTGGGTTACCCAAGATTTGATATTGGGTCAGGGAATACAATAATTGGCAGATAGGTTACCCAAGATTAATATTGGGTCCATTTACCCACTATGGGTGGCATCAGATTTTACCTAATTATTGGGAGTTGGGATTCCTTTAGTTGGTCAGATGTTAATGGAACTGACCAAAAACAAGAGGTCCATAGGCCACATGTTCACCTGAGAAACTTTGGCCATGCTGTTCTTTAACAGATTTTCCCCCTTTGTAAAACCCAGGGGTCATGAAGATTTTCTAAGATTTTTCTATAGATATATTTCAATGTAAAACTTGGATTCCCCATTATGGCCCACCCTTCGCCCAGATAATGAATTAGACAATTTAGAATTTACATAATTCAAGGACCGTTTCACATAAGTTTCAGCTTTTCTGGCTCAGTGGTTCTAAAGAAAACGATTTTTAAAGTTTTTCCCTAAATGTTTCTATGTAACACTTTGATTGCCTATTGTGGTCACGCCCTTACCCTGAGGGTCATGATTTGAACATTTGAGTGTCTACACTACCTAAGGATTCTTCCACATGAGTATCAGCTTTTCTGGCCCTGTGGTTCTTGAGAAGAAGATTTTTTAATAAGATTCATTTCCTTTACGAAAAAATCCAATTATTATAGCGATGGTTACTACAATATCTCAGATTCGCGCCTTGGATTTGTGCGCGTAATGCCCTGCTATACATGATGTTATTGCTGTTAATCTTTGACGTCACGATATTTGTTACAGTTGGATTGAGAGGTGGGTGTAATTTGTCTCTTAGCTTAAAAATTTGATGTAATTGCTATTTTCGCCATTTAATCCATTGGTCCATTCTCATTTATTAGGCATAAGGTATTATTAATATTATTTTCTAATTTAAACATACTTTAGTCCTTCTGACAAGTTCTGTATCATCAATATTGTTTTCTTAATAACAACTGTGGGATCATATTCAATTTGTTTTATCCATCACTGTTAAAATATATTTATATTTCGTATTTTGAGAGATGCAACCACGACAATAGTTGCACTCGATTAACGAAGGAGGGAGGCCATCGGCTGGGAAAAGGAAATTTGCAGGGAGGCCAGACTTCCGGGCGTAAAGAAAAGATGCCAGAGAGTAAAGAACACAGAGCCACCTCTTCTTCTACTTCTACTTCTACCGGAAAGCGGCCACCATCACTAAGCTGATTATTCTGCCACTGTGTAGGGTGTGCGCGTTAAAAAAGGTGCAACTATACAAGTAGTGAGTTTAAAAACAGAGCAGAATAAATTAAGCAGCCAGGTGAGTCTTGAAGGATTCAAGGCTCACTGCGGACACTGTACTGGAGGGGAGGGCGTTCCAGTCTCTGATTGTCCTCGGGTAGAAGGAATCCCGTCTAATATTTGTTGAGCATCGTTGTTGCCTGAATGAGTTGCCATTATGGGCTCTACTTGCTCTTCCTGTTGGTATTAGCTTATCACTAGGGTCTATTTTCACTTTGTTGTTAACGATCTTGTAGAATAGGCATAGTCGTGTGTTCTTTCTTCTGTCTTGTAGTACTGCCCAGTTTAGGTCTTTCACTATGTTGGACACTGATGTTGCACTATTGTAGTTGTAGTTGTTTCTTACGTATCTAGCCGCTCTTTTCTGAACTCCCTCCAGTTTGTTGATGTTGTTTTGTTGATATGGGTCCCATGTTGAGCATGCATATTCTAATGTTGGTCGGACTAGCGTTTTGTATGCCTTTTCCTTTAAGATAGGGTTACTGATGTTTAGATTTCTTTTCAAGAAGCCGAGAGTGTTGTTAGCTTTTTTTACATATGTTGGCAATATGTGTGTTCCATTTCATGTCTGACGTTATGGTGATCCCTAGATACTTAGCCGATGTAACTTGCTCTAAGATATGTCCATGGAGGGTATATTGATGTTTAATGGGTTTCCTCTTCTTTGTGATGGTTAAGACATTACATTTATCCGGGTGGAAATTCATAATCCAATTCTTTTCCCATTTTCCTAGTGCGTCAAGGTCTAATTGTAGTTGTTGGCTATCTGACTGTGATTTTATAGTCAAGTACATGATGGTGTCGTCGGCAAAAAGACGGACAGTTGATGTTATGTTGTCCGGCATGTCATTGATGTAGAACAAGAATAAACTTGGTCCGATGACAGAGCCTTGGGGTACTCCTGATTCCACATCTATGTATTCTGATGTTTCTCCCTCTATAACTACTGCTTGTTTTCTGTTGTTTAAGAAGTTTTCAATCCATTTGTTTGTTTTACCCTGAATTCCATAGTGACTCAATTTCATGACTAATAAGCTGTGGCTCACTTTATCGAATGCTTTACTAAAGTCCATGATTAAACAATCCGTTTGTTTCCCTTCATCGATGTTTCTTGTAATGTCATCAATAAAGTCCACAAGCTGGGTTTCACATGAGAGGCCCTTTCGGAATCCATGTTGTAAAGGATTAAGGATATTGTGTCTGTCTGCATGTGACATGATGTTGCTTGTTACTAGATGTTCCATTATTTTGCATGTTATACAGGTTAGGGAAACAGGTCGGTAATTGACCGCTTCATAATTTTTCCCTTTTTTTATATATTGGACATACTGATGCTGTTTTCCATATTGTTGGTACTTGCCCTGTTTCATATGATGATCTAAATAGGTGTTATGTCTGCTGCCAATTCTTTTAGTAATCTAGGTGTTATCCCGTCTGGTCCTGCGGCTTTATGTATGTTGAGGTTTAACAACAACTTTTCTATTCCGTTCACAGTTATATTTATGTCTTCCATTATTGGGTGGTTCCCTCTCATTTCACATCTGGATTTAAGGATTTCCATCCCTAATGGGACCAAATTCCCTACCCTTGAATATCCGTCAAGTAAATAATACTCTGATATTATATTGAAGCACTTTATAGTAGAAAAGGATTGACCGCGAGAAAGTTTTAAAAATTTCATTAATTAAACAGTAGTTAATTAACAAAGATTGCATTGAAGTCTATGGAAAAAAGCATTTTTTTTTTCAAAATAAAAATTCAAAAAAATTGAATATCAATAAATCCTGCGGTAAAAAGATGCATTTAAACATTAGAAATAGAATAACATTTTTAAACAATTTTTTTTACCGGCTAATTTTTTTAATTGATTCTTTTTTATTAATTAAAAAAGGGGAGATAACTCTTACCAAAATTCAAGGTCATAAATTAGAACACATCCCACTATACATACTAATGGTAATAGATGGGAAATATGTCTAAATAAACTGAGTATTCAATGCCTACATATCTGTTATGTATTCAATTTCTTTGAATTTGTTCCTATTAGGGATTGAATACCTTAAATTGTTCTTCTGTAAAATTTGTTTTTGGTGAGAAGGCTTTTTGGAATTGTCTATTTAAGATATCCGCTTTGTCTATTGGGTTGGAGTGTAACAATCCTTCTGATTTCAATGGTGGTATTGTATTGCCATCCGATCTTT